GTGGTAGGGGGCTCATTCATAAGCATAAAATTGTAGATAAACATCAGAGAACCTCTTGGGTAGGCGCTGATTCATGGTGACCATCCTCCATGAAATCAAGTCATGGATTCAGTTCCTGTTAACCTCAAAAAGATCGAGTTAGTAAGCTAGTAAGTAACTAAGTATCGCCACCTGGATTAATCATTTCTTTTATAATTATTCTGTGTACAGTGTGAACAAAAGTCATTATGTTCTAGCAATCATGTGAGCAGGAGACTTTGTATTGTAATGTCCAGCTGCAAGCTAGGTGCGGTTTGTGTTACAAGAGGAAGGGGAAAAAACTTTTTAATTTGGAAGCTGAAAAAAGTAGAGTCACGTCTGTTCAGGCTGTTACAATAGCATGTTTGTCCAGCATTTTGTTTACCCGTTCATCTGTTTGTTGATGGACATCAGTTGTTTCCATCTTTTGGCTGTTACGAATAAGACCACTATGAACAATGACATACAAATATCTGTTCCGGTCCCTGTTTTCGATGACCTGGGGTTCATACCTAGGAGTGGAATTGCTGGGTCTTAAGGTAATTCATTGCTCAACCTTTCAAGGAACTGTTTTCCACAGTGACTGTGCCATTATGTCACATTCCCGGCAGCAATGCACTAGGGTTCCAATTTCTCCACATCCTCTCCAATATTGGTTTTTTTCTGTTTTTTATGAATAGCCATCTCAGAGGATGTGAAGTATGGTTTTGTTTTGTTCCAGGTCACTTTGCATTAAGTGGTTGAGGACCCTCTTCACAATGCACTATTAACTTGACTTTGACTCTTCAGGCCCCACAAACAGCTTTAATTGGCTCTCATTTCCCAATTCAAAAATCCAATTGGCCCAGCCAAGCCTATGGATTGATTGTCTCTGGGCTGGCGTCTGCCGCTGCTCTAATCAGCTCAGCCCGTGGGGCTTCCCTTTCCAGAATGTGGCGAGGTCACTCTCTAGACAGGGTTATGGAGGGCAGGCAAGAGCAGACTTGTGCCGTGCAGACCCACAGCAGGCTGTGGGCATAGCTGGGCAGGAAGCATGTGTCCTGTAGTCTGGTCACAAGGAACTGCTGCTCAGAAATGTCAAGTCGTCCCACACCAAGAGGGGAGCCATCTCCTGGAAATAAACTCAAGTTAATCAAGCTCTCAGACCCTGCAGTAGCTACCAGAATGTTCTTTTCCCTTCTCCTTCAGAATGTTTCTTTGCTCATTTACAGTGAGAAGCAGGTGGACAAGGAGGACGCCACCTGCACAGGCAGGTCGCCAGGCCCTCCCTGCAGCCACGCCCCACAGGAAGCCGAGTTTTCATCAGAGACTGTGTGGTCAGGGTGGCCTCAGAGCAGGGGAGCCAGGGGACTGCCCAGCACAGGGATCACCAGCCAGGACCCCCTCACCCCCGTCAGGGCCATGGCAGTCCTGGAAACGGCTGGCTTGTGTTTCTTTATGCTCTTGCATGGCAGCTCTCGACAGTCTGGAGGTACCAATCCCCCTCCAAGGATCTGATGGAAGCCACAGACCAGCTACCTAGAAATCCCCACATACCACGTAGTTTTGCATTCTGTGTTCTGGCTTTGAGACAATGCGTGTGTCCCCCAACTCCGTTTCCCTTTCCTCCTGGGCACACAGGAACATCACAGTTCCAGCCTTCCCTGAGGCTAAGCAGAACCACAGAAAACCACTCCCAGGCTAATCCCAAAGCCTCCCTCACCATCTTCCACTGCAGAGAACCCAGGGAGGACTCTGAGCCCTCCAAGCAAGCAGAGGGAGGAGACTGAACCCGAGTGACTGTGTGGACCAGAGCCTCCCAAAATAAGCCACCCTTCTCTGCACTGTCACACGAGTGGGAAAGAAACATGTGTGTGAAGTCACTGAGCCTAGAGGGCTCTTTGTCACAGCAGCTGGTCTACCTGACCACCCCCCTGGAGGCAGCCATCCATAGCCCCCACTCTCCAGCTCAGCCTGTCCTGACTCTCGGGGCATTTTGTTTCCTCTTTGTGTCATGTAAACGTTCTTCTGATTCATGCCAACCATGTATCCATGGAACCAGAGGATTTTTCTAGTGGCAAAGGTAAGGAGGGATGGGAGGGAAGTGGCCCCAGGAGGGTCCTGGACTTGTCCTTCCAGTGCTTGCCCTGCGTCAAGAGCCAGGCAGGAAACTCTTAAGAGCATTGCTCAAGAGTGGAGGTGGGGTGGGGGGGGGATAAACCCAGCTGCCCCACCCCCACCTCAGCTTCCCTCCAACAGCCTGCAGAGATGGGACCAGGTGTGGAGGCCTGAAAGCCCCCTGGTGGAGGGAGTCCAGGCCTATGGGAGTTAGGGCAGGGTGGCAAAGGGAGCAGGAACAGGCCATCAGCCAGGATTGGGGGGAGGGGACAGGAGAGTCCCTGCTGGGAAGAGGTGGGATCAAAGCACATGGAGGACTCTCCAGGGCAAAGGCAAACACTGAGGTCCCTGTCGCTCCCACAGAGCCCAGCCCCCACACTCCCACCCCCAGCTATAAGGGCCACTGCCCCAAGCAGGTGCCCAGGCTGCAGAGGTGTCATGGCCAACTCACACCTGCTGCCCTGGCTACTCCTGCTGCCCACACTTTGTGGCTCAGGCACTGGTGAGTCTCCCAGCCTCTCCTCACCTCCTCCCACCTAAGGCCAGGGGTGCAGGGAGCACCACAGGTATCTCCACCATTTACTGAGCACTGGCTCTGTGTTGGATCACACAGCCAGTGGGTACTGGAACAGGTGGAACCCAGCGCTGTCTGACTCCAGCATGTTTAATGGCTGTGTACTCCCTGTAAAATTGGGTTTGGAGGTTGGGTGAGGTCAGGGTGCCAGGTGTAGCCTGGATTGTGACTAAGGTTGCTCTGGTGCCAAACAGCAGCTGTCTGGACCACATCATCCCTGGCCTGTGCCCAAGGCCCCAAATTCTGGTGCCAAAGCCTGGAGCAAGCATTGCAATGTAGAGCCCTGGGGCACTGCCTGCAGGAAGTCTGGGGACACGCAGGAGCCGTGAGTACCACAAAGAACACACAGCAACTGGGAGTCTAGGATGGAGGGTGCTGGGTGGGCTCTGAGTGGGAACCCCCATAGGGGTTGGGATGGAATGAAATGGGATGTAANAGCCACTGCCCCAAGCAGGTGCCCAGGCTGCAGAGGTGTCATGGCCAAGTCACACCTGCTGCCCTGGCTACTCCTGCTGCCCACACTTTGTGGCCCAGGCACTGGTGAGTCTCCCAGCCTCTCCTCACCTCCTCCCACCTAAGGCCAGGTGTGCAGGGAGCACCACAGGTATCTCCACCATTTACTGAGCACTGGCTCTGTGTTGGATCACACAGCCGGTGGGTACTGGAACAGGTGGAACCCAGCGCTGTCTGACTCCAGCATGTTTAATGGCTGTGTACTCCCTGTAAAATTGGGTTTGGAGGTTGGGTGAGGTCAGGGTGCCAGGTGTAGCCTGGATTGTGACTAAGGTTGCTCTGGTGCCAAACAGCAGCTGTCTGGACCACATCATCCCTGGCCTGTGCCCAAGGCCCCAAATTCTGGTGCCAAAGCCTGGAGCAAGCATTGCAATGTAGAGCCCTGGGGCACTGCCTGCAGGAAGTCTGGGGACACGCAGGAGCCGTGAGTACCACAAAGAACACACAGCAACTGGGAGTCTAGGATGGAGGGTGCTGGGTGGGCTCTGAGTGGGAACCCCCATAGGGGTTGGGATGGAATGAAATGGGATGTAATAGATGGGATGCGATGAGATGGGATGGGGTGGGACCGATAGGATGGGATGGGATGGGAACTGATAGGATGGGTGGAATGGGATGAGATGGATTGGGGTGGATGGGATGGTATGAGGTGGGACGACCTGGGATGGTGGGCAACTGCCTATGCCTTGGAGTGCCCTGTCAGCCTCTGCCTGAAAGAGCCCCACCCACTAGAGCTGGGTGCAAGCCCCCTACTCATGCGCTCCCACTTTGGGGCTCCCTCCCCAGAATGACCTGTGCCAAGAGTGTGAGGACATCATCCACATCCTCACCAATATGACCAAGGAGGCCATTTTCCAGGTGATTAGGCCCAGATCCTGAATGAAGCTTGGGAACCAGGAGATGGGGGACAGAGAAGGAAGAAGGGGTGAGCCCCGTAAGGGGCAATTTCCAGGCTGAGGGTGAGGCCTGGGTTTGCCTGGGGATCCCAGGTTCCTCCTGGCCAGGAGCAGACCCTGGGGCTAGCTCTGCAGCCCAGTCACAGATGGTCTTTCCTGGGGGGTCAGGGCCCTACATACGCCCAACTATTTAACTCCTTGGCACTGTCTGAACTCTAGTGCACTAGGAGAAGGGGGCTAGTCTGTCCTGGTGGCGGCCCTGCATCCAGGGACTTGAGCAGGTGGCAGACTTGAGAGAGGCCTGGCTGACATCCCCTCTCTACCCTCCCAGGACAAAATGCGGAATTTCTTGCAGCAGCAGTGCAATGCCCTCCCCTTGAAGCTGCTCGTGCCCCAGTGCCGCCACGTGCTCGACATTTACCTCCCCCTGGTCATCGACTATTTCCAGAGCCAGATCGTGAGGGCTGCGGCCTCGCCTCCTGCCTGCCTACCACACGGCCCCC